GAGTTGTATTTGTATACATGGTAAGAAAAATAAAAACCTATAGGAGCTACAAGAGGTGAGTCATGATGTTGGAGACCTAGAGATTATTGCAGAAAAGAAAAGGTTCAAAAGGAAATGACTATCATCAGATAAAAACATTTTAATATCTTATGTTTCTTCATTAGGAGCAGAGTGTGTCTATGCAGTTCAGATTCACAGTGATATTCCTGTCTCAGCCCTCCCAGTGCTGGGGTTACAGGAGTGCATCACCACGCCTCGATTCAGTGGCCTGCATGGTTCATGCAGGGTTTGGGGGTGACAGAGCATGTGGTACCACTGATAGAAGCCAGCCCCTTGTGCTTTCCAGGCTGGTGATTAGACCGCCAAGTTATGTCCTGAGGCCTCATCAAATTAAGTGTTATTAAGGTATGCTCAAGTGGTGTCAAATATAATGTGTCCTTTAATGATACTGTAGATCTATGAAGGATAAGTGACCTGGAAATGACTTACATCAATGGGCTAGTGACCGCTTGAATGTGTATATGGACACGTTGTATTTCTCCCATCCTCACTTTATATGATGCATTCTCCCAGTGGCTCACAGAAAAGTCTCCTTAAAGGAAACTCAGCCCTACCTTTCAGTTCTGTGCTCTTTCCTTGGTGAGAGGTGCAGTTTCAAAGTGCAGGTGGCGGTCATTTATCAAAGAGCAAAGGTCAAATTAATATGTTGCATAAACATTGGCAGACACATTGAGAGTAAACTGAAGAATATTCAGGTAATGCATTTCTAGTTGATTTCTGGTGAGGAAGAATATAGAAAAACACATAAAGTACAATTGTATTCAAGTGGGCTGTCTTCCAAAATGTCACTTGGAGCTTGTAGGGTGGCTATAAATTCAATTTTGTGTTATTGGAAGGCTGTCTAACTGTAAGGAAATTCTTGTTTCCACACTGTACATCTATCTACTTGAAGACTTTTCAGAATTCCTGTTGTTTTGCACTTGGGTAGAGGGGAAAAGTATGTTTGCTAATCCCTGCTTGCTGCTGGCTCATGGTTCCTTTTTCAGAGTCCACCAAAGCTTCTGTGTAACTCCCACTGTACAGACATTGATGAACATATGCTACAGTGAGCACACAAAAGAAGTCAGGTATGCCTTTTGTTAGCACAGAAGAACTTGAAGACATCTTCAGTAACTCATCATGGGAAAGACTTCCAGAAGTACAGGGGCAACAAGGAAAGTCACAGCACTCTGTGAGTGGACAAACTCTTCCAGCAACAAGCATTTATCAGAAGTCAACAAGGAAAGAAGAAAACTGTACTGTATGGCAATGAAAATTACTTCACCATCCAAATATGTGAGTCTATACCTAAGGCCACTGTATTACTGTGGTGACAGACTAGATACTCATTTGACACTGTGAAAGTCAGAAACATGAGAGAAAGCAATTTTGGGTAGACTGAATCCCCTTTAGAAGTTATCCTCAGGTAGAGGACTAGACTCACACAATGATTTCATTCTGCCAAGATAATCCAAGTTCTGCTTTCCCTCACTGAAGGAGAACACACACACAAGCACACACACACACACACCTGCACACACAATTATGCCAGTTGTGTGCATTGGAAGAAAAATGCCTAGAGCAATCCTCTGCCATATACCTATGCAACTGCCCCTGCATACTGAAAATATGTGAAATCAGAGCCCCTCAAACCTATTTCTACACATTCAACACTCCCACAGGACAGGTATCTGGACGATTTGTTCTCACATATCCTGTTTCTTTTAATGACAGATGCTCTGATGAGAAATTGGGGTTAAACCATAAAAAGCAAACATGCAGCATTGAATGGGCTGAAACTATGTCTCAACCAATATGGTAATTCTGTGACTAACATTAGCCAAGCATATATTTCAAAACCTGACATGATAGCTTTTTTCTTTGCCTGGGAAGTGCTTATTCCACTGAGCAATCTCCCCAGCCACTATCATAATAGCTTTTAAAGAAGGAACTGGAACTGGAAGTTATTAGAAGGCCCTAAAGTTGTACACTGTACTATGTTATTCTCGTGGTAGGCTGATAAAATATTTGACAAAATTCACTAGAAATATTTTCAGTTTATATGGCATATAATTACAATAATAAATCCATCAAAACCTACCAAGTAATGTTGAAAATATGAAATTGTGTAGTATAACTGGATACACAATGAAA